CCCCATGAGACTCTCTACGTTCACATAGGCAATCTACTACTATGAGGTCGTCGACTCCCATGAAGCCCTCTACCTTCACATAGGTTGCCTACCACGATGAGGCCAATACTACACTTAACCATACAAATGACAATGAGCTTGACGGAAATCACCCAACAGCGAACATAGGCACAACCAACCGCTAGACGAGTTGGGGTCACCACGTTAGAACGTGAGGGAAGTAGGAAGGTTTACGTGGGACAAGTAGAACGATTAATCGTAGAACGTGGGCATTTCATCAAGTGCCTATAAATATCCCCAAGATGAGAAAGGTATTCTTCTTGAAACCTGAACTGTTTGAATTCACGTATACTATCTTCTTACTTCCTAAAAACAGACTCCTAATTCTCACGCCGGAGGTACAACGGAGGAGAAAGCCCCAACCTCATTTTGCAGGTAGCATACACTGATCGGAGTACCCGAAACACCCAACACTTAAGGAGAACGTAGAGGTCAGTCTCGCTACAATTTCATTGGCGCCGTCTATGGGAAACTGCTAAACAAGAAAGCTATGTCAAGGAGACAGACAAGGAGTGAAACGCGCATGGTCGAGAATACGACAGAGACAAAGTCGGAGTCTGTCTCAAGGGGTCATGACCCACCATGCAGTACGTAACGCAGAGCCAATTTAGTGCCTTGGAAATGTAATTGGCAGCCATGATTACCCTCTTGTAGAGTCAAACACAGAAAATTGCAACCCCACCACAAAACTCGTCGGAAGCAATACATGAGCAACCACCCCCAGGTGGCGCAAACGGTTATCCTGCTTGTTACTCAGCCAACATCAGGAGACTTGGGGGCTACAGGGTTTGTGGTTCCACAGATTTCCCAGCCCTCGACAACTTGGAAAGAAAGATAGAGGAGATGATGACCTAGAAGATAGACGATGCATTAACCAAAAGGAAGGACAGGCACAGACAAATGGTTATGGAGGAAGATCCATTTGCACCCGAAAGGCTTCAAATGGTCAATGATAGAAGCATATGATGGAGTCATGTATCCACTTGACCACTTGCGGACCTTCGTTGATTTAATGAGGCTTTATGTAGCCCTAGACGTAGTGATGTGTCGGTCCTTTCCCCCGACACTCAGGAAGGAGGCTAGAGACTAGGGTGGCCACTTTGGCTGTCGATCTATAAAGACTTTTGATGAGCTCTCTAGGAGTTTTGATGAGTAGCAAGAGGAAACGGAAGACGACAATTGGCTTGATGCACGTTGTGCAAAAGAAAGATGAATCTTTACAGGAGTACTTAGTTTGGTTCAGTTGGACAACACTTGGTATAAGAGACCTTCAGATGTCTCCAGTGGTAACAACGTTAATGAAAGGGGCGCGGAATTGGGCTTTTAAGATGTCACTCACTAAAAATCCCCCAAAATCAATGTACGACTCGCTGAAAAAGGGTAACAAGTATGTTGATACAGAGGAAGTAGAGAAGGTCACGAAAAATCTCAAAGAGGGATGGGAGACAGAAAGTCACATGTGAAAATCAGGTGATAAGTGAAAACTTATTAATAAATTCAAATCGAGAAATGAGGGCATGAGTAAGAGATACGTTCCGAATCGATCCATCAGATAGAGGCGAGAGGAGGTCAAGGCCTTCACCCCTTTAAATACTCTGAGGGCAAAGATATTGATGGAGATTAGGGATATGAAAGAGCTTGACCGGTCGAGACCGATGGAAACATCTGCCAGCAAGAGGGATAAAAACAAGTATTGTCATTTTCATAAAAATCATGGGCACGATACGAAAGAATACATCAATTTGAAGGAGGAAATCGACCGCTTCTTGAAGTAGGGTTTTTTTACTAATTATACGAGAAATGATCGAGGCAAGCAGAAAGTTGATGGCCGACCACCGCCCAGGGCCAGTGTCATAAATGTGATTATTGGAGAGATTACAGTAGGGGGACTTAAATTCGGCTGGAAAGAGCTACACACACACATTCAAGGTCTGCTCCATTCAGAAAAATATCAAGTTCAATCAAAGCATCACTTTTGATGCGAAATATTTAGTAGGCGTGGTAACCCCCCATGATGATGCATTGGTAATAGTCGGCGACATAGCAAACTACGATGTCAAAAAGGTATTAGTTGATGGTGGTAGTGCAGCGAACGTTCTCACTTGGGAAGCATTTGTGGGGTTGAAAAATTTATTGGAAAATTTGAAAGCAATATCCACTCTCCTCCTGGGATTTGGAGGGACTACTGTGATATTGGAGTGAGTCATGAAATTACCAGTGACATTGGGTACTTACATTGGAAGGGTGGTGATCTTGACGAACTTTTTAGTTGTCAAGACCCCCATGGCGTATAATGCAATCTACGGTCGATCCCTGCTAAATGCTGATGGGGCTATTCCATCCACTTACCACAAAGTGAAATTCTCAACCAATTGTGGTATGGGGTGTGTGAAGGGCAATCAATAGTTTTCGAGGAAGTATTATGTTGACAATATACGGACGAATGGATCACCACCAGTGATGATGTTTGA